TGAAAGTATGTAAAATTTTTTTTTTCATTTTTTTTTTAAATTAGCATTAGTTACAGTGTTAGTTGTTTGAGGAATTCTTTCACAGCGAAGGTTTCTCATGTCTGGCTATCTCGATTCATGAAACGAATCTCGGAGGAAACCAACTGCAAGAAGCTTGCCTTTTCAAACCCAGACACAAGATACGAAAGTTTCTTCCACGAGGAAAGCTTTGAATATTCAATAACCAACGAATTGAGGGAATGAGAGGGGGCCAAAAGAGGAGGAAAACAGAAAGGAAGAAAGAGATACGAAATAAAAGGATGAGCATAGAGAGAAGAAGAGGGAGAGAGAAACTTGTGAAAGACATACGAGAGAGGAAAAAGCAAAAAAAAAAAAAGAAAAAAAAGAAAGAGAGAAAGAAAAAAATAGACACATACACGAGCGAATAAAGAACACACATAAAGCAAAAATGGAGCAATTTCATTTTTTTACTCTACCGGCTATCCATCTGTCAGCAAACGAGCAATTATTTATTTTATTTAATCCTTTGTTGATAAATTCAAAAAATTTTATTTGGAATTTTTTTTATTAGTTACTTTACTATTAGCAATATTAGTTACTTTTTTCGAAGAAGATTATTCGAAATAGAAACCTCTGCAAAATTCTTTTCAGGAATTCAATTATTTTCAATACATAATAAAATTCAATAATTAAATTTTTAATTATAATTCTCAACAGACACGATTATTTTTAAATGTTGACAAAAATTCTTTATTTCAATTATTTTCAAAATTTTCTATTAAAATTATTAATCAAAACTACATTACTTTATAAAAAATTAAAAAATTCTTCCAAAAGAATTTTATCATTTACAAAAACGCTAAAAAAATTATTTAAATGAAATTAATTTTCTATCAATAATTTTAATAAAATTTAATAGTAAAATTATTAATTTCAATTGTTAATATTATTTTTTTTTCGAAGTGCATTTCGAAATTGAAACCTCTGCAAAAATGAAGAAAAGGAGAAAAATTACTTTTTTCCTGTCAGACTAATATCAAAATACAATAATAGAAAAAAGGGAAAGAAAATCTTATTTTCAAAGGAGATAAAAAAAAATTCAAAGCGCAACTGGAAATAAAATTTTCCCTCTTAAGAAAAACGCTGCATTTTTATGATGGATAGGTAATTTTTTTTCTTTGATCAAATGAGGTCTTTATTTCATTTTAAAAAGTATTTTAATTCATTAAAAAAAAAATTCTGTAAAATAAAATTAAATAAAACGAATAAGGAAGATAAATATAAAAACGATAATATAGTTTTATCATTTTAATTTTTTGATAAACAAAGTTCAAAATGTGGTCCAACCCTGACTATGTTTCACCAGGTCTCATTTTCACATATGAAAATTGATAGGGTTAATTTTCGATCTATTAAAAATATTTGAAAAAAGCAGACCAAAAAAAACAATAATAATAAATATTATTATTAAATTCAATAATTATTACAATTTTAATAATATAATTATTATATTATTATAAATATAAATAAAATATAAGTTAAAAATATTTTTTATAAAGATGAATAATATAATAATAATAATAATAATAATAATAATAATAATAATAAAAATAATAAAAGCAAATAAAAAATAAATGTGTCCGATAACTGCATAGGCAATTCATGTTTTCCGTTAAATACTGTTAATGTATTCTGTAGTCACAGTTTTGATCAAATTGTGAAAAAAACGGGATGTCCATTTGAAGTGGTACTTTTGTCAAAACGACCGAACGAAAAGCTCGATAAAGCAGAGAGTCGTGTTATTCGTGCCCATTTGAGCGGGATCAATCGCTCGCAAATCCGGATTATCCGCTCGAAGGTGAATGGATGTATACACAAAGCGACTTGCGAAGATACTTTTCATCAACAACAACAACAGAAAAAAAAAGAAAAAAAAAAGAAGTGCGATTAAAAAAAAAAAAAAAAAAAAAAATGTCCACTCTGTATTTTGCAATCAATGAAAATCTCCTTTTCCTCCTATACGCTATAAATTTTGTTTTATTTTATTTATTTAAATTTTTAAATACCGAAAAATTATTACCTATACACGTTTAAAAAAAATGTATGGGGAAAGATTGCTATTTGTAAAAAATGTATTTATTGACGAGATTTTAATTTGAATTAAAAATAATATACCTAAATAAATTATAAATAAACATAAATAGTATATATAAATAAATAAATAAATAAATGAAAATTAAAATAAATAATAAGAAGTAAATAATAATAAATAATAAATATATATATAGTGAATTTCCTTGGAAATGGTTCATCTTAAATAATCAGCGTGCAATTTTCAAGTGCCCTGTCATATAGTTTCGACGAGGATGATAATGAACTTTAATCGGAACTGGACGATTCGATTACTAGTTAGGGACGTCGAAACTGAATAATCCGGTTAGCAGCTTGCAAGCTCAGGCGACTGCATTCAGCTTTATCACCACAAACCGATCTCGACACTGAGAAAGTTCCACGTCAAGATTTTATGCATGGAATTAATCTTAGTTTGCACCATCAACTTATAATCAATATATATATATATACGTACATATATTTACACAAACGCTAATTACCATTAAATCTAATTAATCAGCTGTAAATTTTTTTCACACACAGACATTCATTTATTTTCTCTTATCAAATGTTATCGATACTTTTTATCCGACGGCATTTAATTTTATCTCCATTTTTATCCCATTAGGTCATTCAAGTTTCGCTTTTTTTTAATTTTATTTATTTCTTTATTTATTTTATTTATTACTGTATTTTTACAATTTACTTATTTGTTTTATCTATTACTTTATTTTTACTATTATTTTATTTCTACTACCTTTCATTTCTATTTCATTTCTACTGCTGTTAATTTATTAATTTCTTCTATTTTTTAATTAACCTTATGTTTTTTTGCCTAATCATTAATAACAATTAATTAAATATTAATAGCATTTAAAAAAGTTTAAATTAAATATAAAAAATAATTCAAAAATTTTCCCTTACATTGATTTAACTATAAAAAACTATAAAAAAAATATTAGTTTAAAATAAAGTGTGACTAATTAAATTATTTATTGTTACAAAAAAAAAATTATTCTACAAATTTCTTTTAGTAAAGCAACTATTGAAAATTAATTACTGAATAAATATTAATTATTCAATTGTTTATAATTAAGAAAGGCAAGTTTACATACGGGTAAAAATATCAGTTAAAAATTATTGAATAATATTGTCAATTGATGAGTGAAAAATAAATATTCAATTACTAATATTTAAAAATAATTATTTAATTAATAATATTTAAAAAATAATTATTAATTTACTCCTTTTCAGAAATAAGTATTCAATTATATTAATAATTAAAAAATAATTCTTCAATAAATAGGTATTAAAAAATTTTTTTAAAAATATTACACTGGAATTATTGATAATTAAAAAATATAAATTAAAATGTAACTGGATTTTAACTATTATTTTAATTAAAAATTATAGTTTCGAAATAACTATTAGTGTTTAAAAAAATAGATAAGTCATAATAATTAATAATTAAAAATAATAGATAGAAAATAACTATTAATAATTAAAAATAACTACCAATAATTAAAAAATTAAAATAATTCCCAATAGATAATAACTTTCAATATTTTATAATAACTACAAGCAATAAAGAAATAACTGTTGACAATTAAAAATAACTATCAATAATTAAAAAAAAAATAAAAATAAAAACTGAACTTTTCAAATAGTTTTAAAAATAACTATATTTATATCAATATAATTGTAAAATTTCTAATAAAAACTTTTTTCCAATAATTTTATCAAATACCAGAGAAAATTACTAAACATTATGAAGAAATATTGGCAACAATTGCTGATAATGATTAAACACATGCACACATATTATAAACATTTTTTCCAAATAATTATCATTTCCGTTAGAGATATTTCAGCTTCTTTTTCTTTAATAATTTTTTTAAAGCACATTATCGTCTACTTTGTGAATTAAAATTAACTTCGAAACAACTTTGATAATAAATAAATAAATAAAACTGTTTTTCAAAGATTAACAAAATGTTTTCATTGCGAGTAAAAAACTTTTATCTGAAGAAAATAAAGAAGACTTATAAAAGGAGAGAAAAAAAAAAAAAAGTTTTTTTTACAGTCGTAAAAACTATAAATTGAACCATTTATCGTTTTCACTTGTAAATTTAATTTTCTTCTCCTTTTTTCTACTTTCTCTATATGTAACAATAAATGATTAAAAAGTTTTATTTTTATTTTTATTTTATATTCTTTGGGAGCGGTGGGAAGGGTGCGATTTTGCAGAAATTCTCTGTAAAATCTTTTTTTATAGAAAGAAAATTTTCTGTAATAAAAATTAAATTCTTAAATTTTTGAAACAGTTTAAATAAATTTTTTTTATGAATAATTTTACTATTTATATTTAATATCTATTTAAAAATAGATACCTTTTTTCGAAATTGTACCTTTATATTTGAAAAAACTAAATTTTTTGTCTTATAAAAATAATTGGAGACAAAAAGTAGATATAAATTCTAGTAATATTTATTTTCAAAAGTTTCTATCTCTTTGACTCTTTTCTAAAATTCTTTGAATATTAAAAATTTTCATAGAAAATTGTAAAAAAAAAACTATTTTGGCACCTAATTTTTTTTTTCTTTTCTTTTTTTTTATTTAATAGAATCACATTTTCCGAGTGCTGGAGAACCTTTTATAAAATGTTTCATGTGCAGTTACAGTTGGTTGTGGCTGATACGTGAGCAGCACACGTTTCACGACTCAAACTTTTTACAGGCACATTCCACACTATAAGGTTCAGATGGGAAAAAAAAATTTTTTTTTTTGCAAAGCGCATACGCAGAAAATACGCGTAAAATGTGGGGAGAAGATCTAAAAACGTATCGTGTCGCAATAGTTTCACGTAGAATGTCGCGCTTTAAAAAGTATTTTCTCTTCTTTTTATGATTGTCATTTCTTCAAAGTGCGTTCCTATACATCCAAGTAGTTACTAGAATCCTTCGCTGTATTTATATTTTTAATAGTTTATTTATTTAATAATTTACTTAATTAATAATTCATTTGTTTAGTAACTTATTTATTTAATAATTTATTTGTTTAATAATTTATTTATTTAATAATTTATTTGTTTAATAATTTATTTGTTTAATAATTTATTTGTTTAATAATTTATTTATTTATTTAATTATTTACCAATAAAATTTTACTAATAATTTAAAAAACAATTATTTGTTTATAAATAGTTTAATTAAATATTTTGTGAGAATTAATAAAATTTGACTAACAATTTAATAAATAAATATATAAACAAATAATAAAAGTAATAAATGCGTAAGCATTTATTACTTTTATTATTTGTTTATCTACTTATTTCTATAGATTCTTATTTCTTTAATTAAAAATTAAAATTTTTATTAACCATAAAAACTTAAATTAGAATATTTATTTATAATTCTTATTTTGTTGTTCAGCTAATTATTACTTCATTTAAAATTAACAAATAACGAAAACAAAAAAAAAATTTGAATACAAGATTTCGTTTCTTCTCGTTATTTCCATTTTCTTTTTTGTGTTCGTCTAATAACTTTTGCACTGTACCGTTCAACAAAATTTATTATCATAAAAGTCCTTCAACCTGTAGCTTATAAAAATTTTTCTCCAAACTGAAAAAACAAAAATTTACATATGTTTGTTAAAAGTCACGATAGACTTTTATTCTATAAATAAAAATAATCACGTCACTAAGCGTTATGTCATTACGTAAATAATAATTTTTTCAAAAAAAAAATTCAACAGTTCAAAGATTATATTGTTATATGCAAAATATATAATATTCAAGCGCTAATTAAATATTGAAACAACCAACAATAATTATTTAAGAGTAAATTTTGTATCTCGTCTTTGAAAAAAAAAAATTTGAATACTAATACGAATTTTTTTTTCAAAAAGATAAAAATTTGATAGTTTTCATTAAATTTTTTTTAATTTTTGTAAAAAATAGCAAAAGTTCTTCATAAAATAAGTACGAAAGGGCAATTTTTCTTTCGTAAACCCGTTTCTACGAATGAATAAAAATAAATAAAAAAAAATAAAAATGAGATAAAAAAGAAAAAAAAATTGTATTAATTCAATTAATTAAGTGGATAATGTTTTGTATTATAATTCTACTATATATGCTTCTTATAAATTAATTCGTAAAGCATCTGCATCACGAGCCGATGATTCCGATAACTTTTTGCATAAAAATTTTCTCTCTCTCTCTCTCTCTCTATTTTTCTCTCTCGTTGAGTTTGATTTTATCGTTGCAAGGTCAGTAACTAACGTGAAGAACATGAGCAAGGCTTTAAAAGACGATTATTTGCATACTTCAGCAATACGATATGCATGCATAATCATTTTTTTTTACTCTATAGCCAATTGAATGAGTATCAATTTTTTTTTAAACCAAAATCGTTAATTACATGTTTCTGTTCAGTGATTCAAGTGTCTCTCCTTTTTTATTTTGGAAAAGAAAAATATATTCAAAAATTAAGTTTTTTATTGGTATCCGGTTCTTTATTTTTGTTCGCCTTTTTAATAGCGTAAGTGTCAATGACCTTTGCAACTTTTGCACTTTACTATATTAGTAAAAAAAAAAAATATTCCGACCACAGAAGAATAATAATTATCCAAAAATAATTTTTGCAATCATTTTACTATTTTTTGTATTTAAATTTTATTACTCCTTGTTTTCTATTAAAATATTTTTCGCATTTGAAAATTCTTTAATTTATTTTATTATTTTTATTACTATTTTTTTGTTTACAAAATTATTATTTATTTATTAAATATACGACACAGAAATTATTGCTATTAGGGCTTTTTATTAAAACATTATTATTTATAATTATATTTTTATTAATTTTTTCTAATTATTACTTTTTCACATTTGTAATTTTTTAGAATTATTATTATCACTTCATTTATTTATTTCTACAAATATTTTCTAAAATTACCTGAATTCGATTTATTTGAGAGGTATCGTGTTCTTTTTGTAATTTTATTTTTCATTTTTTCATTTAACACAAGAGTGAAAATTATAAATTTTGAAATTAACATTAATTACATAGGGATAATTTGATTCCTAATATGATGGAATTATCGTCAGCCCTTTCAAGACGAGATGGAAAATTAAACTCGTTATCGATGCCTAGATATTCCTTCGTTGAGAACACGTCTCTACGACATTGTCAAGTTTTTTTTTTCTCTACAGAATATTTATTACAATTTATAAATTCTTATTCTTTTTTTTCCGGCTTTGTCATTTCAATCGAGAATTGCGATCTGATTAACGTGACTACTCCAAAGAAGTTATTTGTAATTAAAAATACGTTTTTCTACGAAAAATTTATAATAAAAAGGCAACAACAAAAAAAGTCAAACGACTTTGCATGATAATGAAGAATTTTTTTCTATTCTCTCTTTTTTTATTTGCTTTAAAACATAAAGTAATTTTAACGTTCGAATCTTTGACAAATTATGACATTTTAACAATTGATTAGTAAAAAAAAAAATAATTCTCGAGTTTTTTTTTTGCTTCGATAAAAATCTTTTAATAAGATGGTTAAATTTGCTATTCAAATTTTTGGAATAATTTTTGTGTTTAATAAAATCAAATGCTACTGATGTAAATTTTATTTATTTTATGCAAAAAAATATTATTGATTTAATAATAAATATTATTCGATTAAAAATTATAAATTTTACTGAATTAAGAATATAATAATAGAACTAGTTTGGAATAATCAATACGAATTTCGATTAAAGAAAACTAGTTTAGAAAAGACAAAACAAGTTTCAATGAAATAAAACTGGTTTGGATAGAAAAAACCTGTTTAAATTAAATCAAACTATAGTTCGATTCGAATAAAATTTGTTCAACTTAAACAGAATTTGTTTGAATTAATCAAAATTAATTCGAATAAAACAAAATTAGTACGGATTGAAAAAAAACCATTTCGAATCAGATAAAACAAGTTCGAATCAAACAGAATTTGTATACAAGTAAATAAAACCAGTTCGAACCAAATCAAACTAGTTCGAGTCAAAGAAAATTTGGTCGAAACTTCTGTTCGAATCAAATTAATGAAAAATACTTTAAATAAAATAAAACTAGATTAAATCAAACACAATTGGTCCAAAACAAATAAAACTTAAAGATTTTTTTTACTTTTTCTTTTAACTTCAGCTTTTTTAAATCAAATTATTTTCTTTTGTTAAACTTTTTCTGTTAATTATTGATATTTCCAGAATAATTTTTACTATTTTCAAAGGCAATTTTTTTAATAAAACTTAGAAAAACTTATTTCAAAAATTGTAAAATTTACTCTAAAAATAAGAATTTTTCTATAGCTAATTGTAATGTTCGATGAAAATTGGAATAATTTTTTATAAAAAAATTAACATTAAAAATAGTAAATTTTGATATTAAAAATTGTTATTTCCAAAGTAAATTTTATAATATCCGTAGTAAATTTCATTGAAAATTAGTAAAATATACTTTGAATTTAAATAAAATTTATCAAAAATTCCAAACAATTTGGATTTTTTTCAGAAGAAAAAGTTATTTTATATTTTGAAAACCTTTTATGAAAAAATTTATATGTTCAAAGACTGAGAAATAATATAAAACGATTTTTAAGTTTCAAAATACAAAATTTTTTCCAAAGTTTGCGAAAAATAAAAATCTTTTCTTCAAGTAAAACTGAAAATTTTTCTATCTTACAAAAAATGACAATTTTTACAAGTTTTTCTTAAAAATAAGGGGAAAAGGGGAGAATATTTATGATCTTAGGTGTTTTAGGAGATTTTATTAATTCAAGGGGATAAAAAAGAGGAAAAGAGAAAAAAAGGGGGACAAACTGTGATCCCTGTTAAAGCCAAAAATTTTCATCTAAAATAAAATTAAGGATACAATTAAAAAAAAAAACTTCAGAACACTAGAATTTATTCCAAACAAATAAAATCAAACTAAGAAAAAATTGACAAAGCAAATCCCAATTAAAATACCAAAAGTAATCAAAAAAATTATCAAATTCAATTAAATTCTCGATTAGATCTAAAAGAGACAAAGAAAATTTTCAATAAATTGACTTGAAAGAATAAAAAAACAAATTACAACTAAAATAACCAATAAATAATTATTATTCGAAGCATAAAATAAAAAGTCCTTGATTCTACTTCACTTCCTCGAACCTTCACTCAACAATTTTTCGGTAGTTTGCAAGATATAAACCTGCCTGTTTTTTTTTCTCAAGTAATCGTCCTTGCCGAAAAAAGAAAAACCTTGGCCTTCAAAAGATTGCCGAGGCTATATTTGTGACATTTCAAGCAATACATTCCAAACTTGTCGGAATATTAAACACACACAGACACAAGCAGAAAATATCACACACAGAGAAAAAATTTTATATATTTAAAATTTTATGTACATTATTTTTTTCGGTATCGAGTTTTTAAGTCACGTGATACGAATTTCAAGATCACCGATTGGTGCTCATCATCATATTGAGTCTCATTTTTTTTTCTCAATTCAAGTTGGCGTGATCTTTCTTCAACGAGAAGAAGAAGAAGAAGAAGAAGAAGAAGAAAAAGAAGATATTTACTTTTCCGTCGAATCACAACTGCGCATCTTATCATTAGTGCTTGGACGTCCTCGGTGTTTATAGAGGCGAGAGTTAACCGGTCGCTTAGTCAGGTCACGAACAAGACGCATAATTCGCGACAGTTTGCCGTCATCTCGCGTACACATACGCATGGGATCATGTCGAACAATCAAACAGAAAGAGGTATATTTAACCAACAAGGATTAAACGAAATTTTCAAAGTTCTTTTTTTTATTTAAATATAATAAAATTTTCAAAATTCCATTCTACAGTCAATATAATTTTTTTTCTAATTTTTTTTCCTATTTTATCTCAAATTAGAAAAAAAGGAAATTTTCCATCATTTCTATTCCCAACAATATAACAAAAAAAAGGGAAAATAAATGTAGACAAAAAAAAAAAAAATAGTGTGCGAAAATTTGACCTTCGATTCGCGTCATTGAACTTCATTGTGCGCGGGAGTGATTGAACCTCATCTTCGAAGCTTTGATATAATTGTGCAAATAATTATGTTTAATCAGTGGTTACATGTGTGACGTGATGTAAAATAAAGTTCAATTTGCAGTTGTGTGGGAAAAAAAAGATTAATACTGCAGTCTTTTATCAATTTTCTTCTTCGATTAAGAGGTTTTTTTTTTTTTTAAATTGCCTCATCGAGTTTTAAAAACTCAATGAAGGGAGAAATTTTTTTTAGAATTTCCGGATTCTGGATTGAAATTTGTGAAATCGAATTAAGAATGAATTTACTCTGTACAGTAAATACATTTGGTTAAATATATTTAATCGAAGAATTAAAGCAGAAATTAAAGAATTAAAGTAGACATTAAAGAATTAAACAATTAATGCAGAATTTTATTCTAATTTTCTATAAATTGTTTGATTATTTTCTAAATTATTTTCATTTATTTACTTTCTTTGTCTTTTATTATTTATTTTAGTTTAAATAACTTATTCTTTTTTTTCTTTGATTTAGTTATCACACTTATTTTTTATTCAATTTTTATTATATTACCTTTATTAAGAATAATTTTATGTAACAGTATTTCTATTTATCGAATTTTTTTATGAAATTGGAGTTTCATTCAGCCGAAATTGGATTTTATTAATTTCATTGAACTTTTATTTAGTAAAAATTATTTTTCATTAACTTTATTGCATTTTTATTTAATTACTTGGATTTAAAGATAAATTTACTTAGTAATATTCACATTTACTTAACTTTCATTCAGTTGTATTTTTATTTTGCCGAAATTAGATTTTATTAACTTCAGTGGAATTTTATTTAGCCAAATTTATTCTTCATTAATTTAATTTTATTCTTATTTAATTATTTCGATTTAAAAATAAATTTTGTTTACAACTATTCCTATTTACCTAAATTTTTATTCAGCTGTATTTTTAATTTTTTATTTAGCCGAAATTTCATTCACCGGAAATACTATTTCGACAAATTTTCATTTAATTCAGTTTTTATTTAACCGAACTTTTTGCAAACAATTTTTTAAGGAATTGAATTTTTATTTAACAATATTTAAATTACAAATAATATAAATTTCCGTTTAATGCAATTCATATTCAATTACATTTATATTTAGCAGAAATTCCACTCTATTAAATCTCAGCTTAATAGAAATTTTATTGAATCAAACGTTTATTTAACAGTTAATTTTTTTCTAAATTACTACTAAGTGAAATTTTTAATTTACTCTACTTTTCAAATTTGCAGAAATAAAATTTTCGTATAGTGAGAATTTAGCTAAATAAAAATTCCGTTCCATAAAAATTCTGCTGAATAAAAATTCTGTTTGAAGAAAATTACTTCATAAATACAGTTATTAATAAACAATGGGCTAAATAAAAGATATATTGGAAAATTCTGTCAAATAAAAATTCCATTTAGTGAAAATTTGGCTAAATAAAAATTCCGCTTACTGAAAATTTAGAAAAATTAAAATTCCGTACCATGAAAATTCTGCTAAACAAAACCTTCGTTTTATGATAATTCTACTAAATAGAAACAATTATTAGTTAAAAAATTTGCTAAACAAAAATTCAGCTAAATAAAAATTTCATTTATTGAAATTCCGAAAATAAAAATTCCGTTCCATGACAATATTCAAACTTCGGTTTATGAAGGGTCTACCAAATACCAACAATTATTAGTTACAAAATTGGCTAAATAAAAAATCTAATGAATAATTCATGCAAATAAAAATGTAGTGTAATAAAAAATCTTCCTTAATAAAAACTCTATTTATTTAATTTATTTATTTTTAATGAATTCAACATTAAGTGAAAATTAGGCTAAATACAAACACTATCATAAATTTACAATTTATATAAAATTCATTAATAAATTAAAAAAAACGTCAAAATTAGAATGTAAAATTAATTTTTAATATGAGTTCTACATTTAATTTATTTCGATATAATAATAGACATTCAATTTTATGAATCTAGAAACACTGGAAATTCGAAATAACAATTTTTAGAAAATTATTATTATACCTCTCATCTCTGCATTGACGCTAATGAATTGGAAAATAAAAAAAATATCAACAACAGAGAAAAGTACTAAATTCATACGTAAAATGGAATAATATTTCTAATTAGTCAGATAATATTAATTTAACCATTAATTAACTAATTAGAAAATTATTCCCACGCTCCAAAATGAAAATCTTTTTTCTTTATGATTTCAATTTTTAGTTCAATCAACGAATGAATTTCAAACCAATATAAAATCCTGAATAAAAAATGAAGGGAATTAATGAATAAATTTGTAAATAAGTAAATCGGACAAAAGTTGTTTAAATAAATCTGTTGGAATCGAATAAAACTAGTTCGAATCAAATAAGAATTATTCAAATCAAAGAAAAATTATCAACTCAAATAAATATTATTCAAACTAAACAAAAATTATTCAAACTAAACAGAAATTATTCAAACTAAACAAAACTTATTCAAATCAAACAAAAGTAATTCAGGGGAATAAAATTTGGTCAAATAAAATAAAAATTATTCATATCAAATAAAAATTATTCAAATAATAAAAAACTAGTTCAAGAGAAGAAAATTTGTTAGAATCAAGTAAAAATTATTTAAACCAAACAAAAATTATTCAAATCGAACAAAAATAGTTCAAAGAAAAAAAACTTGTACAAATCAGGCGTAATTTGTTTAAGAAAGAAAATTCTTATTTAAATCAGTCAAAAATTGTTCAAACTAAACAAAAATTTGTCTTAATCAGTATACATTTTTTTTGACTTCATCATTAAAAAATTGGATTATTATTTTTTAATTACAAAAGAATTTCCACATTTTCAGCAATGTCAAGGCTAGAAGACAATCAGCATTTTCCAGAATCAGTGGAAATTCCAATGACTGATGAAACAGCTTCAAGTACAACAAATGAAAATATCGAAGTGCACACAAGACTAACCGCAGAAACAAATAACAGTGAAGATGAATGTAATGGACATTCACCAAATGGAAAATTGAGAATTGATAAACCAATATGTTTAACAATAGAAGACGATGACAATCCACCTCCATATTCGGCGTTAATACCACAAAATCATGCAGCCTGGTATTATAAATTTTCCCCCGAAAATAATTCCAATACAGTGAGAAATTCAATAACTCTAGAACAATTTCAACAAAGAATGACCACATCAAATCATCATCATAATAATGAAACATGTCCCGACTGCACTAGACCAAATTCTTTGGATTCAACATTTGTCACATCAAAATTACACTCAAATTTCACAACGCCTGATAATTTAAGAATAGGAAAAATGTCAAATTTACCTCGCAGTGAGTATTACATATTAATTTTAATTTTTTTTTCTTTTTCGTTTTTCTTTTCACATACTAGACTATGAGTCAATTTTTCGATATTAATAAATTATTTGCATAATTATTCTTTGTGAGGGAAAAACGTTTTGATTTACGTAAATAGAGAAAAAAAAGTCTCACAGCTCTGGCAACGTGATACTTTAATCAAGTCAACATAGACAAAAAAAAATTAGTTTATAAATAACGTGTGGAAAATTTATCACATTTAAATGCAACTTGTTCCAGGGAATTTATGAAATTTGTTATATAAAAATTGTATATTTGTAATGTAGTAATTTACTAGTATTTATAAACATAATTTACTATTACTTATAAACATAATTTACTATTACTTATAAACATAATTTACTATTACTTACAAAAAATATTTGCTATTTCTTACAAATATAATAATTATTAATTATCTTCCACGTCAATTTTAATATATTAATATGCAAATGCTTTTATAATTTAATAATTTACCATTAATTGTAAATACATTTTTATATTTTAACAATTTTAAACTAAATATTAGAAAAAACATTTTTATAACTAAAATTATAATTTTAAATTTCAGAATGTTTTTTACTAATTTAGTATTGTTTTCAAATACTTATGTTTATAAGTTAATAGTAATTTGAATCCATAATTATCGAAGAAATATTTTTAAAACTAAAATTTTAATTTAAATGTAAAATATTAACTAATTTATTACTAAACAATTAAAAATGAAAAAAAGAATATTTTTCACGAGCAAAACACTAAACACTTTTTCTTTACAAATTTTTCTTTTTTGAATTATTCACCAAGAAAGTGTGCAAATTACTTAATAACTAATTTTTTAAAAATTTTACCAGGAAAAATAATTTTTCTTCTAAATTGTTGATTATAATCGTGGTGAACTTCACCAACGTTTTATAATTTAGTAATAATCTGAAACAGCAGATATTAGAAAAACATTTCGAAATTTAATTTATCACTTTTAATTCTAAAAATAAAATTCTTTCAATAATTTAGTACTATTTGTTTTACTAATATGTTTATAATTCATTTATTCAATATTCAATACTAATTTGAAACGATAAACAGAAATATTTTTAGAACTAAAATTTTTATTTTTATTTTGGAAATAAGTTATAAATTTAAATAAAATTATAATTTAATAACAATTTGAAACTTTAATTAAAATCAAAATTTAAAACTGTAAAATTCATTGAAATATTTTAAAAAGTAAAATTTAATTTTAAATATAAAAATACAAACAACAATTTGCAAGCTAAAGCGCGCGGCTAACTTCTTACTGCCTTTTTTAAATAAAATTAGTAATTTTAAAAATAATAGAATTTAAAAATTTTCTAATTTAAATTTTTGTTAAAAACATTACAAAAATTCAATTTTGGAAAAATTACAAATAATTGCAAAAATTCAATTATTATAAAAAAAAATAAAATTCTTACGTTAAAATTCAACTATGTTCAAAATTTGAAAAAAATTCTCGTTAAAATCCCAATTATCTTTATAAATAACAAAATTCTTCTTCAAAGTTCAATTATTTTCATAAATGTGAAAAAAATTCTTGTCCTAATTTCAATTATTTTCAAAAATAAAATGCATTTTTCTAATTTCAATGATTTTCAATATCTATTATTTTAATAAAATTTCCCAAAAAGAATTCAATTATTTAAGAAAAAATGTTAATAAAATTGTATGCTAACATTTAATTATTTTTATAAATAATAAAAAGTTCACAGGAATTCAATTATTTTCATAAATAATAAATTTTTTTTAAGGAATTCAATTATTATTTTCATAAAAAATAATTTTAAATTCTAGAAAATAATAATTGAATTAAAATGATGAAAATAATTTTGATGAAGTTACAGTCACAATATTCATATAATATAAAATAATAATTTTATCTCTCGGTCATCTTTAATTATTAGAAAACATGAAGAAATACTTTTGGAAGTTGTTTAATTTAAAAAAGGTTTGAATTTTAAATTTTTGAATGTTTTAATTCCTGTGGAAAATTCTGTTCCAAAAATAATATTAAAAATAGGAATTGTGCAAATATTTTTCTTCTTTTTCTAAAACAAAATAATAATAAAACAAAATAATAATTTTGTTGAAAAAATTGTGATTCATAAAGAAAAATAATGCAAAATAAATAAATTTTCTATTTCTTAATCACAGTTGTTTAATAATTTTCTAATTTTTTTGTTTAGAAGTAAAGAACAAAAATCTGCATAATTTCAATTTTTTTATCATATAATAATTTTTGTACTTTATAAATTATTTTCTTTTTCAGGATATGGTACAATTTTGATGGCAGTGATCGTTGTCTTATCATTAATGGTACTCTCCTTAATTGTCCGTTTCGTCGTGGAGAGAAGTTTTTCGCGTAGTTAAGACACTTCCTAATTGTAACAATTTTTACCATCTAGTATAGTTTACATAATAAGCCTTTGTATAATTACTATTGCTCAATATAGAATTTTTTTACTCTATTTATCAGACATAATAACAATTTCCTTCTTTACCTATTTAGTTATTTCTATATTTATCAAAAGAAAAGAAAAATTGCATAAAATTATCAATTACACAGACTTAATAAATTAATTAGTATTAATTATTATCGTTTTATACAAAAAAACAAATTTCCTTCTTTACTCATTCATTCTTATTTATTTCAAAAAAAAAAAAAAATTTTAAATTTGTAGATTTAATAAATTAGAATTAATTACCAACAATTTAATAAACAGAAACATTTTTTTCATCACCTATTTATTTCTATTTATTTAAAAGTAAAAACTAAAAAAAGTTATTAATTACATAAACTTAATAAATTATTTAGTACTAATTAATTTTTCTTCTCCTCTAATAAAATTACAGTTTTACAAAAAAAAAACCTTTATCTAAAATCAATAAAAGAAGTTAAAAATTATAAATAAATTTCCATTTCAAGAATATAAAAAATTTTCCTTTGTTCGAATTTTCTCAGTGAATTTATATGGTTGAAAAAAATTAATTTACAATTCATTCAAGTGATTTACAGCCCAAAGACACATATGATGGTGCAAAAAAAAAGAAAAGAGAGAAAAAAAGAAGGAAAACAGTGAAGAAAAAGATAAAGCGAAACAAAGCAATTCTGTTGATCTAATAAAATAGTTTTCGCGGTGAAGCATTAATGAAGGATTTGAAGTAAAATTAGCGAAACGTGAACAGTGGTTGTTTATATAGTATTCCTAAGTGTTAGCCGTCCTTGTGGTTATACCAGATTTTGCCACCAGGGAAATTACTAGCTGAGACACCAGGACAGCTTTTGTATCCCCAACTAAGAGATAACTAATAGGGTCCACACTCTGCGGTCTATCCAACATAACACTCGGTCTTTCTGTCTCTAATTTTAATTCGTAACCCGATCTAAATTCATCTTTCCCCTCTTCTTTTTTTTTACTTTCACCCTTATAATAAATTCTACAAATAAATACTACTGTACTTCATTTAAATTAATATTTCATTTAATTCATTCATTTATATTTTCATTTTCACCCAAAAAATTACCACTTTACCTCACTGTGACATAAATTATTTTATTTTTCACTTGAAAAATTTGAAAATTTGAAGTGAAAGTGAAAATTTTTGGTTCAATGTAAGAAATTTTAATGAAAATTTTTTAGGGTAAGTGAAAGTCACGTGAACGCACCCCAGTAATTATAATATTTAACTAATGTAATAATCAATAAAATAAACTGTATTAACAAATTTATAATTTAATGTAATCGTTAAAATATTAAATAAACTAACAAAGACATTAATTAGCAATATTTTAAATTATCAATATTATCCAAATTAAATAAATAAAATTTAAAAAAAAATGAACACATTAACTAATTTAGTAATAACTATAATTAATAATAATTATTATATAGCCATTATTAATATATTAATAAAAATATTATTTAATACACTAATTAATAAATTAATTAACTTTTTTAATTAACTAATACGTCAATTAATATCAATTATTATTAGTTATTGCTATTAATTTTTTATAATCATTTATATATTACTCATTAAATTATAATTGCAATTAGGAAAAAAGTACATAAAACATAGAATAACCGAGCAGAAAATGTAATTTAATAATAGAAACAATAATAATAAATCTTGTTATGATTAATGTGTAATTCTTTTATACCGTGAGACATGAATTGTAAAAAAAATACTGGCATTGGACCAAGAAAATACTTCTTTATCAGTAATTAGAAGAATGTTTTTTACATCATGACGTCTTTTATTTAATGCAATTCTCAGTTATTCTACTACTTCGATTCTATGTTAAATTTTTTTACATGAAAAATGTTCTCTACCCTATTAAAAAACAATTTTAAAGTAAATTTTAAGTCTCTTAGTAAAGGTAAAATTAATTAAGCCAATTCTTTATTTTGGTCAGAAAAGAAAACTTTAAAACTAAAGAAATTTAATAAGAAAATATTATTTGCTTCCTAGATACCCATCTTCGAAGCGTGTCACAATATATTGATAAATATTTTTATTTTTCTCCACAAATTATTTCTATTTTTATAAATTTTTACCATTTTTATTTACATTTTATTTTTCTATTACTTTCATTTGTTTATTTCTTTTATTTTTATTTTGTAAATAAAAACATTTTTTTTTTTTTGACAATTAAACAAGAGTGTGACAAAATTATAATATTATTTAAAAAAGAAAAAAAAATTCACCCATATAAATGTATATCTATTTTGTAGAAGAGAATCTGATAAACGAAAATTTTGAAAAAAACAAAACCGGTATACGTTGTTTTCTGATTGCATAAACATTAAACACTGCATAGTATTTAATTCAAATCACGTACAAGCACTGCCGTCGGCAAACTGCATGCCATTAAAATCATCGGCTGCAGCTTAATTTATTTCAGTTTGTACTAAATTCACGTAACTATAGTTATTTAGAACATCTCCATAAAATTGATTTTATACCATTCGAGGGGGAGAGAGAATTTTCCCCTAATTTTATTGTCAAAATATTGAAGTCACACTAATCACACTAATCACTCATATTTATATAATATATCAATTTCATATACAAATAATATGGGGATAAATTTCTGCATAAACAAATAAAAAAAATTACTATTATTTCGTGATAACAAAAAGGAAAATAGTAAAAAAAAAAATTGAGAACAATTTGGTTCGAATTTAAAAAATAAATAATTTATTTTTGAAATAAATTGATAAAATTTAATTAATCAATTAATAAAATTGATAATTTAATTTAAATTATCAGCTTATTGAATAAATAGTTGTCAAATTAACAAATTTTTAATTAATTATAATAAAAATAATAATTAACAATTGATAATGATACGAATAATAATTAATAAACTATCATTAATTAATAATATATTTATTATCATTTATTAATAACATTATTAGTAACATTATTAAAAATTAGAAATTAGTAATAATTAATTATAATTATTACGTGTTAATTGTTTAACAAAACAGTAAGAAAAATTTTCATTTGTATAATAATTGCAGACAACACGATTAGTGTGATTAATTATTTATCGCATCATAAATATGTTTATTATGTTAGAAAATAATTAAGTGTAATGAAAATTAAAAAGAATAATAGCATTTTAACTCGATATTATTTTATGCAATTAACAACTTCTGAATACTTCTTAGAAAATTGCTAGTTACAAGTAATAATTTAAAATGTTTTAAATTACCAGTCATGACAAATAATTATATTAATTCAAAACTTTACTGGCGCAAAGAAAAACTATAGTTTGCATACTAGGTCATTAATATTAAGTCTCTCTCTCTCTCTCTCAATCTCTAACTGGAAGTAAATAAAAAGTAACTCTTGGGTCGATGTATTGTTTGCAAATTGCTCTGTCGCGACAGATCAATAATTATTTTAATCATTTGAGAATAATATGAATAATTTCAGTTAATATACTACTTTGTATGAAAGTACTAAACGCTTTTTAGAAAGTAAAATTTTTTTTAATATGTCCCGTCTATATACTAAATAAACTAAATAAAAATAAAAATAAATTTAAATATTGCTTTTTATTATTTATTATTTTACAATTATTATTATAGATATTAATCTGAACGATTATAATTGCTTTTATGTTAGCTTAATTAGCTTAATTAACTTCAGCTACTAGACAATAATTTCGATTATCAAATTTAGTTTCTAAAAAACACACTCAAAATTTTAATTTTCTGTTTTCTAATTTTCTAACTTTTTTTTTTTGAAAATTCCAAAATTCTAAAATTTAATATTTGAAAATTCTTGATTATTCAAAAATAGATTTTAAATCTAGATTAGATATAGATTTTAAATAATCGAAGATTTTACATTAACATCTTAAAAGAAAAAATTCTCTAACCACATAAAATTAAAAATGATAAACAATAATAAATGTAAAATTGTTAGGCCTAAAGAATCAAAAATCAAAATTTCAAAAATTTGCTAAATTTCCAGCTTCTAAAACATCAAAATATTCCGGGCAATAAAGAATCAAAAATTTTAAATCGTTTAGAGTCTGAATTTTGAATCCAATACAAAATCAAAAATTTTAATATCTGTAAATAATTAAGGAGTAAAAATTCTAAAGTTCAAAATTCGAATCTTGAAAAATCTAAAATTTGAAATAAAAAGAAATCTAAAATTTGAGAACCTAAATAATCATAATTCAAATTCTTAAACATTTAAAAATTTTAGCCTTTAAATAATATAAAAAAAACCCATATCATAAATAATAAATAATCCTCCAAAATCTAACATTTTATCGTCTACATAATCAAATAATTCTAAATCACAGAGAATCCAGAATTTTAATCGATAAAAGCTCTTAAATTTTATCTGTTAAATAGTCTAAAGTTTTGAATAACAAATAATCTGAAATTCTAAATTTTTAAACAATTTAAAATTTTATCCTGTGAATAATTTAAAAAACAAAATTAAAAAAAAAGTCTAAAATTCGAATCATCCAAAAATCTAAATATTTAGCAGTTCTAACAAAAACGTTTTCGAATTTCAATATCTATTGAAAAAGTTTATGGCAAAAGAGAAAATGAAAACAAAATTCAAACTCAAAGTCGAAAAACAATATTGAAAATCAACATAAAAATAAAAGAGTCGCAGCAGAGAGAAAATTAAATTCGAATTTTTTAAATTCTCCCAAAATTTATTCGCAATTAAGCTGTTTATTCAAAAAATATTTTATTATTTTCAAACCAGTATATACCAAAATATATTCAAAAAAAATTTTTTTCGGCCCTTTACATAGCAATAATAACAGAGTGAATATAGCTTTTTGCCCAACATCATTCATAAACACACGTTCGAAAATCTTATATAATACATTGCGATTTCTGATTCCTTTGGTTATTGACGGCTTTTGAAAACCTTACTTACCCTCTTCAATTCTATTTTCTCTCTCTCTTTCTTTTTTCCCTTC